TGCAGTGGAAATAGCAGTGGGCGCATGATTGTTCCTATGAAACCGCTGCTAACGTGCCCGCTGTTCTCTTTGACAAGATCATTCATGGTGTGCTTCTCCTGCGGACCACTGATCAAAAGTGAGCGCAAATATTTTTAAAGCATAAATATCATAATGCTGTTATATCATAAATCTGCAGCTTTACTTGCATAAAATGCTCTGAAAACAAACTGTGTGGCCGCAGCGATAACTTGTAGCTCCCTAAGTATTTGACAAAAACCTCTTTGCTTGCGTAACAGTGCGCAGCTGCATCAACACTGCACGGTTCCGCCAGTCTTTGACGAGCCGATGATTCCATCAGTTTCGATCACACTGTATTAGGTGCAATGAGAGGTTAATAAACCGTGAATGCCGTTGGCCGTATCATACACTCAACAAATAAAATTCTGTCAAAACGGGATTCTGTCAAGATTCGTACCACCTATTAATCCCTTTCCCGAACACGGAAATGTGAAAATACGGCTGTCGGCTTCCGCTGAGACAATATTTTAACTCTTTGACGTTTCGGTAATTACTGCGCTAGCATATAAAATTTACACCTGACACAATTTAGTTTCGAAATAATGGCCAACAAATTCGGATATTATTGGAAAGCCAGCGGTTTCATGGGAAAAGTGACCTTTCCATGGATGGTAGCGCTGCAGCTTACGGGGCTTTTCTGCATTACACTAAAATCAAGGACTGCCAAATGTGCAGTTTCTTGCTACATGTTTATCAGTATTGCTCTGCAGTTTGTTGTACAAGGATTTTCTGCCTACGATTTCACCGCTCAACACCACTTCAACCGCGAGGCAACCTCTCCGAGTTTCGGAATTTTTGCTATGGGAAGTTTACGCTATATCTACTGGCTTTCGACCATACTATGCATGGGAAAAATGTGGAGTTGCAGTGGTCAGATTGAGCAGATTCTGATCGAGCTTGATAAATATTCGCATCTCTTCACAAACAAGATTAAAATAAAAATTATTATCGGTTTACTCATTCACTGTGCAGTTGTTCTCACTGTGTTCCTATTTGTAACATACACCTATGACATTGCGGTACCACTGGGTGACACCGTCAAACTCTTGCAGAACTTGTATGGCGGTCCCTTTAATTGGAAGCATGCGGACATCATGATGGTGTGCAATATTATTCTTGTGCGGATAAATCATCTGGGCAAAATATTATCGGTTGGTTTCAATGTACTTTTGGGTAACCTAACAGCGTGCCTTTACCATCTGCTAAGAACCGGGATCGTATCACAACAACACGACTCACCCAAAGCCAAGTTAATGTGCTTTGAATCGTTTATCCAGCTATCCAAGCTCGTAGCCGATTTGGATGGTCATCTATCGATCATCACATTACTAGGGTGTCTGGATCATTTCGGCTGGATTGTGGATATTGCGTACTCTGACAGTATTGCTTTGCGAGATGATAAGCCGATTATGCCGGGTGACTTCGCTGCATTGGCGTATAATTTTTTTATGGTAACGCTAATTGTTTGTGCAACGGTGCACTGTTACGAGCAGGTGAGGATCTGTTTGTTGTTGTTCTTACCGCCAGGAGGATAAATAGAAATGCAAGCGTGAACAAACAACGCAGTATTAAAGTACGTTCTTTAAGGAACGTATTAAAGTTCGTTCTTAATATACAGCAGCATTTTACGGAAGCAACCTGCTCTTGAAAGAAACAAAACTACCTAGATTTGTCTGGGCTTTTTGTATAGGGCCAACTGACAATGGAATGGATAGACGAAGCCATATTAATACCGGAAACATTGTGCGGTCAAAATGTGGCACAACTCCGAAGAACTTGTGCTTTTCGGCGACCTGGCTGTTTCACGCTTGGCGGCATTGTGGTGACCCGAGAGGCAGCATTTGCGGTGGGTAAAGAAATCGCGCGCCACTATTTGCACTCTGGCTTTCTCGTTGCTCCCATCTGTAAAATTTGTTTGAACTTGTAGCAAGCAGGATAGTTGGAGCCGTAGGTTCGAATTAAAACTTTTGGAGTTAAAACTTTTGGAATTAAAACTTTTGGAGTTCGAATTAAACAAGCAGGATGGAGCCGTAGGTTCGAATTAAAACTTTTATAGCATGAAACTTAAATGTTGTTTTGCTGCGTAGGCTGCTGGAGGTGCAATTAGCTACGTGCTCCTATTTTCTGAATTGGCCAACAAGAATTCACCAAACCAAGAATGCCTGAAAACGATGAACATAACTGGCTGGGCTGGTGGCGGCTAACAAGCAAACAGACGTTGATGACAAAATTACACGTACTTTTGGAAACATCTTCTTTGCTTTAACGGCATGTAGATAATAAAAATGTGGCAAGATTGGCACCGGGTTTACGCTGTGTGACATGATTGTAGAAACGTAGTAACTTGTATGCAGATTGTAAAATTTATCAGAGTGGACGGTCATGTTTTATACATTTTTATGTAGATAAAATACTGATGCTTTTTCAACATGGATACATGTGCAATGGGGCAGCACAGAGCATGTAGTTTCCTTACATGTACAGAATAAGCACTGCCGTGTGCACCGGAATATTTTGTCGGCAGACATGATGTTTGGAGACAGACTGTATGATAGCTTGCTGACATTGTCGGCTACGATGTTGGATGCCACGAGGAAGAAAATGTGCACACGGAATGGCGCAACGGCATGCCGGTGTAAAGCAAAAAAAAAACATCAGTCGAATACCATTGGGTACAATGGCCAAGCATCACCACACGATGTTAATTTAGGTAGTAGTATTTTGCGTTAAATTTCTCGACAGATACGATATTTCTCAGGCTTTCGTGCATAAGGAATTCGGCATTTTTATCTGTTCCCCCTTTTTTAAGTCACGGCAATAAACAGATTTGCACCTATGTGCCACGACGCCGTCAAAGCTATTGTCACAAAAGAGAAGCAGACGCTCAATTTAGTTTTTCTCGAGTCATCATATGTGGTGCTTAGCTGCGTAGAGGTCATGTCAGTGTGAAATGAGCGTATTATGAGTAATGCACGCAAAATGCTAGCATCCGTAGCAAGTACCACAAAAAATAATACGTGCACTATTATATGTTTACGGTATAGGCTGTTAACGGTACTACGAGTTCCCACCGATGAATAGCATGAAATGTCAAAGCAGTGCTCCGGGTTCAGTCTTCGCCGCGCTGCCAAATAATTCGCCACCGAACTCCAACCAGATTTGTTTGCTCTGATATTAATTTTTCTTCCAAAATCATGCACAACAAATGTCAGTTTTGACATGAGACTGTTAGGGAAAAGAAAATTAATCACTGCGCCATCATCCAGAAGAACAGCAAGTTAGATAACCAGTAAAGGTAGCGGAGCAACACCAGCGCGATAATGCCAACACTTGGCGATCCATCCTGCTTATCTAGCTTCTGCAGATAATCGATGGTGTAATCGTATGCGAAAGGTGCGTAGGCTGCTGGAGGTGCAATTAGCTACGTGCTCCTATTTTCTGAATTGGCCAACAAGAATTCACCAAACCAAGAATGCCTGAAAACGATGAACATAACTGGCTGGGCTGGTGGCGGCTAACAAGCAAACAGACGTTGATGACAAAATTACACGTACTTTTGGAAACATCTTCTTTGCTTTAACGGCATGTAGATAATAAAAATGTGGCAAGATTGGCACCGGGTTTACGCTGTGTGACATGATTGTAGAAACGTAGTAACTTGTATGCAGATTGTAAAATTTATCAGAGTGGACGGTCATGTTTTATACATTTTTATGTAGATAAAATACTGATGCTTTTTCAACATGGATACATGTGCAATGGGGCAGCACAGAGCATGTAGTTTCCTTACATGTACAGAATAAGCACTGCCGTGTGCACCGGAATATTTTGTCGGCAGACATGATGTTTGGAGACAGACTGTATGATAGCTTGCTGACATTGTCGGCTACGATGTTGGATGCCACGAGGAAGAAAATGTGCACACGGAATGGCGCAACGGCATGCCGGTGTAAAGCAAAAAAAAAACATCAGTCGAATACCATTGGGTACAATGGCCAAGCATCACCACACGATGTTAATTTAGGTAGTAGTATTTTGCGTTAAATTTCTCGACAGATACGATATTTCTCAGGCTTTCGTGCATAAGGAATTCGGCATTTTATCTGTTCCCCTTTTTAAGTCACGGCAATAAACAGATTTGCACCTATGTGCCACGACGCCGTCAAAGCTATTGTCACAAAAGAGAAGCAGACGCTCAATTTAGTTTTCTCGAGTCATCATATGTGGTGCTTAGCTGCGTAGAGGTCATGTCAGTGTGAAATGAGCGTATTATGAGTAATGCACGCAAAATGCTAGCATCCGTAGCAAGTACCACAAAAAATAATACGTGCACTATTATATGTTTACGGTATAGGCTGTTAACGGTACTACGAGTTCCCACCGATGAATAGCATGAAATGTCAAAGCAGTGCTCCGGGTTCAGTCTTCGCCGCGCTGCCAAATAATTCGCCACCGAACTCCAACCAGATTTGTTTGCTCTGATATTAATTTTTCTTCCAAAATCATGCACAACAAATGTCAGTTTTGACATGAGACTGTTAGGGAAAAGAAAATTAATCACCCCTCTTACTGACATCTGCGATCCACATGCGACTCGCTTCCGTCGTGCGGTTACAGCTTATTTAGCTTACTAAGGGCTACCAGCATGCATCGGTTTCAGTCTGACCTAAGTTGCTTGACGCGAGCTGTTACACACCCATGTAATTCCCGATAGGAAGCTCTGTCAACAGTCATGCGACCGGCAGTAGCACCTTATGCACGATGAACAGCGGGATATGCACCTTAACGCAACCCGAGATAGAGAATGTCAATATTAAATGACAGGATGTAATGATCTTGCAAGTTGAATGCTGCACTAAATTCAACGAATCCACCATGTGTCTGAAGTGAATAAAACATTCTGCTTGCTTATACCGTCATACAGTATACCGCTATAGACATGTAGTGATGTACCAAATGCGTGGTTACACTGTAAGCGTGCAACGAGTTTCGGAGAACCGGAATGGCACAAATTATTGAAAAGTTCACCGTACCCCTCTTGTGGGTCCTGGACATACTGGGTCTTATGCCCGCTCCCTTTTCCAAACCAACCTGTTGGACAAAACTACGCCAGCTGATATCGAAAGTTCTCGCAGTCTTTCAAGCATCCACACTGCTGTTTCACTGTTACGACTATCTCAGCGACACCATTCCAAAATTTACCCATTTTTCCTCATACATCCTCCTGATTGTCTACATCACCGAAGGCGTGACACTACCCATTGCTATTATCCTGTTACGTAAAGCCGGCGCCCCGATCCACTCTCTACTGAAAGAAATCAGCGAGAAATTCTCCGGTATTATTACAAAAGAAGACAAACGCACCGTAGTGATTTTCGCCGTAACCTGGTTTGTGGCCTGCCTTGGACCGGGAATCTATTATTTTCGCGATGATCTGTACGAGAATCTGGAAAGTGACTTGGTGCAGTTTCGGGAGAAATATCCAGCGCCTATAATACCGGATAACGTGGCGCGCTGGTTAGTATAGCGTTGAAATGAAATCCCATTTCATCCGATTTCGAGATGCTTAGGAATAAATTTGAGGCTGGGAATAGGCTGGGAAGTAGTTTTCGAAAATGCTTCCCTTTAGGCCATAGAATAAAAGTCAGGATTCTCCTCTATTTTATAATTTTTATAATTTCATCAGCTGCCTTTGGGCAGTTTATATACCCATTAATTTTTTTGTTTAAAATTGTCTTAACAAGAATTACTCAAACTAAAAGAGTTTTTGTACAAATCATATATTTTAACACATAAAAGCTTGTTTGATTTTCAATAAATTTGATCGGGTGTTTGAAATTAAAAATCTTGAAATTATGATTTCGATTCTACTCTAGGTTAACGGCGCTGTTCGACGTCTTCTGGACGGTGTCGATCTTCAGTAAAGAAGCCATTCAATTCCTCGTGGTTTTTGTCGCGCTGATCTTGGGAATTATATTTCGCCGCATTGCCCTCAACGTTACCTTTGATCCGGATGTCGAAGTCCCAGAAAAAGTCCAGGTTAAACAGAGAGAATTGATTGTGCAGGCATTTGAAGATCATAAATTTCTGATGGATAAAATGCGAGAATTCGATAAACAGTTGAACGCCGTGAATTTTATCCGCTGCATGGAACTGTATGGGCTGTGCCTGGCATGTGGTTATTCTATTAGTCAGCGCTTCAGCGAGGCGATGAACGCAAGATCGGATCGTATGGCTATTCTGGCCGGCATGGAGCTGATTCAATATGGAGTGCTGCTGATGCTTCACGTTGGTGCTCTGGTTTTCCTGTTTGAGAAGGTTCGTTTTTGTGTGAATACGATGTTCGTGATTTCACTAGAATTTTGCAGAGCCAAATGATCGCTAACGCTCTGGACGGCGAAGCCGGCAAAGATCGCGATTTGAAGAGATATGTCAAACAAATCCGAGAGGAGCCGGTGTCCATTACCATGGGCGGTGTGACCTTTAGTCGGGAATCGGCTATTGCGGTGGGTTTAAGATTTAATTTATTGTCAGACAACAGTTTTTATTGTTACTGTAGTACCATGGTTACGGCAACGTCGCGATGTGTAAATGTGTCCCTATGTTTCTTAGACCGCAGGTAGCACCATGGGTTATATTTTGATCTTCTCAGAACTGGCCGACAGCGGAAAGGATTTTGATAAGAACGAGTTTGTGGAGAAACTGAAATTGTTCGTGCGAAACAGTTCCAGCCTATACGTACCCGCCCGAGGAAAAGGCGTATGATCAGCAAGCAGTACTAAGTTTTTGGATTAAATTTTCAAACTCTAATTCTGTTAATACGAATTATTGTTGCTATTTATACTACGGGTAGAATATATAATAGGAAGCTTTCTGTGTTGTATATCATGGTGATTTCGTCGAAAATATAATTTGCTGCAAGGCATCTTAAATTTATTTAAGTTTTATCCGTGTAGCGTGTCGTCACGACTATGCACTTCTTGTAGTGTCTGCTGCTTTATCTGTGAAACTGCAAAAAAAAACAGACGGATACTCATGCTTTTGTATTGTTCGTATTTATTCTAATATAATACGTTTTTAGATGGAGTTTGCAAATTCTAATCCTGCTACTATTAACGTCATTATAAATATCGAAATTAATATTAGTGGAATACAAAGATGTTTGCGCGGTGTATCAAGCAGATTCATACACGAAGCTACAAGTAATAAAGAACAGAGTTAAACATACTGTATGTCTGTCAAAGCATGAATATTACAAAAGTATGACAAAAATTACGGGATTGGTCAGTCGGTCCAATTTAAAAATAAGTAAACTAGTATGCAAGAGTAGCAGAGCAAGTGCGCGTCAGTTACGTAAAGTCAGAACTGTACGAACAGAGAAAGGGTTGTTTGCGCTATATGCGTTAAATTAATGCAGCCTATTTCCTGCATTGCATAATAATTATAATAGTGCATTCATACGGAGGTCAAAATTCGCAGCTGCATGATCAGATACTCGAAGGATGGTCGCCAATACATTTCGCCGCTGTCATTCGCAGTTGCTTAATCTCGTGTTCTCGAGCAAACGCCAGGAAACGGAACGCATTATCCGCATACACTTCCTCCGTCATCCGAACTTCACAGGCTGCTCGTAGCTTCTTCATGTCGTATTTCTCGGCCGCCATCCATAGCTGCTCAAGACTTTCATCTATTTCAGATTGATCAAAATCGTCGTTAAACTTCAGTTCATGAGTGTAAGCGTAATGGATGAGTGTGTCTAGCACGTTGCCATCCAAGTCGGCGATCTCACACAGACCAGTAGACTGTTCCTTCATCTCGGTCTGGAACATCGCGGCAAAAACTGGCGATTGGGCAGCCAAGATACTGCGATGGGCTGCAAACTGCTTGTTGTCATTGGATTTTAAAGTGCAGTCTGTTAGTACGCCAGATTCCAGCAGCTCTTTCAGGTCACTCCGATGCCGGGAAGTGGTAACATGAAATACCAGCTTCACGTTGACATAACGTCCATGCAATAAACTGTGGTGAGGATGTGTGGACAGCCGCGGATCTGGTTTTGTCACCAATCTGGCCAAGGGATTAACGGCGCCGCGACATTCCCAGTGTGTCGCATTAGAATCCACGCAGAACGCAGAAGGGGATTTACCGCTTTCGCTAGAGGACCCAAAAAAATTGCAAAGTTAAGTGTTATGTAATAACTGTAATTCTAGATAATCTACCGAGTCTTGAACGCTTTTTACCTAACTATGCGATCGACTTTAATCGTTTGAGTCCAAAAATCCCACCCTTTGGGTTTCCCCTTCGGTTCCACGCTTGCTGATATATCGCCGTCGCGCACCCCAATTTCTAAGCGGACGACCCAAACGGATTCGGGAATTTCTGGATATTCCCCGTATTTTGGTACCTGAATGCATGCTTCATGGATCCATCTGAAAAGAAGAGAACGTTCAGTTCCCTCGATTTCGCTCGAAAAATCATCTGTGCGAATTTCATATTCTACGGTAACGGGACTTATCCCCACATATGGAGTTTTGCTGGGAGCATGCTCTTTTAGAGTAGCGGCCATGTCTGCTTGCAGATTACTCTCCAAGCTTTAGTCAGAGTAGAGGCACTGAATTAACGAGAATTCGAAAAGCAAACTGAAATTTGTGCAAACGGTTAAGAGCCTTCAAGAATTTAATACGGTATTGTTCTTCGATGTTTCCCGTATCCGCACCAGTCGGGGTATTAACCCGGATTTCTGTTTACTATTCTGTATATACCCAGTTGCGTAGTTAAACTAGGAAACAGCATGGTTGACGCGGTCACCGCACCCACTCACTAATATGAAAATCTGGAAATACGCCATAATAGTTGTTAAACTACAATGTATGTTAGTTTATGCAATACAGTTTTCTTTTTCCATTAGCTGAGAGCGCCCCAGGTACTAATTACTGTTTGAATGTGGAAAGATTCACAGTATATTGCGGAGTATACGAGTAAAATGATAATAGTAGTTACACTTGTAAACTTCCGGAATTATACTTTGACAATGGATTCTGGCAACCGGGTGTAGTGATCTGATTTTTTCCGGCTTTTCATGCGTAGATCATCTGGATCATGAAATTAATACACATACTCGTACTGTAACTATTTTACGTTAATTAAGTAAAACCGCCAAAGTTTTCTCGTTCGTGACTCAGATCTGCAACCCAATCTAGTAGCGGCGGCTGATACGTTTCATATAACAATAGGAAAAAACAGCCGATAACAAATTGACAAGGATCTGACACAATTCCTGCCGTATATCTTTAAGGCAGAATCCAAAGACAAGCGGATCTACAACAGCTTGTAGATAATATATGGAATCTGCTAGATGTCTCCACCACGGAGGGTCTTGGAAGGCAACGAATCGGCGAATAATAAATGGTAAATTTAGCGGCAGGTAGCACACAATCTCGCTAGTAGTCATAAAGGTCAAAGCTATGAAGGACCTTCTCCACCGTTCCTTGCCTTTGGTTTCTTGGAATTTGATTATTTTAGTCTGTGATATCCCGTGATTACTGTGATATGCATAAGTTTTTGCATTCCATTGTTTTAGGAACGTTTTTGTCAGAATAAACGGATACGCAACTATAACAAAGCCCAAAGGGAACGCGTAGCCGATCAGTGCCAGAGCGTCCATGTACAGCCTGGAAAGCTCTGAAACAAAGTAGCAGTCAGGAATTCCTTCCGGTTCGTTGATAAGGCCAAATAATACTGCAGGCATCGTCCATGCATGCACATCGCGGTGCTAATAAGAACCGCCACTTTTTTATTGTGGCACTGTCGGTAGTTTATAGGAAAATACACAGCCCACAATCTATTCATAGCCATTATTGCATGGCAGTACATTGTAATACTCAGAAAGATCCAATCGCCACATCGGTAAAAAACGCAGCCAATGAAGTGAATATCGACATAGGATTCTGGCGGAAACAGCGCTGCGATTATGTCGTACTGCAACATACACACGTCTTCGGTTATGATATTGGAGATGAGCAAAGCAATGATGTAGATTGTGAAGGGTGTGATGAGATGACGGCGAAATGCGAATAAAGCCAGCAGGGAACCGTTCGGTACTGCTGTGAAGAACCACCGACTGACTATCACCCGGTAATAATTTTCGTCGGTATCTGTCGAGTACTTTGTGGTATTAGATAACGAACCGTTGAGCAGAACAGTGAAATTATTTGCCATTTCTCGCCGACAAGCAGAGAAGCAAGATAAACTGTTCAAATTACTCGTAATTAAATCTTGGTCAAAAGAAAATGAAAGCACAGGGCAAATCTTACAGGTAAGGGCATAGAAAATTTTGTTCTGTTTCCGAAAGATCATCCCTAAAGATTCTTCCGCCTACTTGTAGGTTTTTATTCAATACGATTAGTTTAATACACTCTAGCACATTTAATTTGTAGAGCGGTGTAGCAAAAGTGCCGAATGCGGTCTGCTGGGAATTTAACGCACGAAGCCCACATTGGATTTCTCATTTCTGTGAAAGGTGCGCAGGTATGTGTAAAAGCGGTAACAATGCCTTGTTTGTACAGCAATCGTTTCTGCACTTCATCGAAACGACGCCGCTGAACTGTGACAATTTTCAGAGTTGGACAACAAAAAATTAGAAACACCCGAATATTCAAAAACAACAAAACAATTTAAGCACTACTAGCAGTGATCTCGAGTCACATGCAGTTTTTATAATATACAAATAGAGAACGACGATTAAATGCCGGTACGACCAGCTTGCCTACCATACGAAACATTTCTTCTCTAATTTCTTTTAAACAAAACCCAAAAATAAAGGGATCTAGGACGGCCTGAAGATAATATGTATTATCACCAAGAAAATGCAGCCAATTCGGACTTTTAAATGTAATGAAGCGTCGCATTATAAAGGGAATATTGGAAGGCAGATAACATACGACCACACCCACGGTCATCAAGGTCAAAGCGACGAGCGACCGTCTTAATCGCTTGCGCTGCTTTTGCTCAGCAGCAGCGAATGCTTCAGATAACACAGTAACACTAACAATAAGCTCCTTGGCTTTGACAGTTCTTGATCTTTTCGCCAACATTTTTATTAACAGGAATGGATAAGCCGCGATAACGAAACCAATAGGGACACCATAGCAAATCACCGCCAGTGTATTAAGATAATGGCTCGGCTCCAGTTCTCGGAATGCACACTTCGGAACACCTTCCAGTTGATAAGTTAGTCGCGTGAACACGAGCGGCAGTGTCAGTGCATGTAGCACCAGTCCAACACCAGCACAAATGACCGCTGCTGTCTTAATCGTATGCCGATGCCGGTAATGTATGGGAAAGTACATCGCCCATAATCGGCTCATCGACACCAGAGCGTGACAGTACATTGTCATCCCCAGAACGACCCAGTCACCGTACAGATACAGAAAGCAACTAATTAAATGTACCACAGTGTAGTCCGGCGGAACAAAAGCCGTTATAACAGAATAGGGAAGCATGCAAATATTATCGGATAAAACATTACAGGATAGCAAGAAGATGATGTAGACCGTGAATGGTGTGATGAGGTGGCGATGGCATGCGAGGAAAAGGAACAGCGCCACGTTTGGAATAAAGATAACGCACCACCAGGTTGCTAATACGCGATAATAACCTTCGATGGAATACCAGTTTGCATGAATAGTGTGGAATTCCACGGGGGAGCAGATAAATTTGGCATAGCCGTCATTTTAATGTCAGCAAGGGAATAAGTTTCTTCTTATTTGAAAAAACCCGGTCCTTCAAACTCATAATCATCCATAAGCCATTTTAGAATTACTGCAACGATTACTTACAAACAGTATTTGTTAAAGTTACGCTACAAGGATAACCTTTAACTTTATGCGTCTTACGAGGCTTCAACAGGAAGGCACGTTTCGACAGAAATCTTGTTGATTAGGATTTTTCCACTTGGTCCTTTTCCTACCTGCATCAGCATTCCCGGATAAATCTACGTTCTCCCGCAATAGGCATTTCGGGTGATACTAATACGCACACTGTTAAACAAACAACATATTTCAAAAAACTGTAAATTGCCAGAGAAACAATATCATGCATTACTTTTGAGAATAATGTGTTTGACAACTGAATGAAGTGCACGTTGGATACTTGCGTTTTTCGTCCTGAGTTGTAAAGAACGGCTACGAACACGAACGAACAATCTACAGATCGACACTAACAGGATTTTGCTGTATGTACATTAGGGGGGAGCTGTGAGGGTAGTATTTCTGTGATAGTTTCTAAATCAATAACGCTTGCTTACTCGGTGCATTATCTTTGTCGGGTTTTCGTTGGACCACATCGAAAACTTTGCATAAATTGCATAAAGTAGATGTACAAATATATATCTATATATTTGTACGAAAAGAAAGCTTTGCGTCCGAAAACGTACTTTGAATTTATTCGTGCATATATGATGTAGGTACTGCTGGTAAAAACCACACTTACTCATAACGTAAGCGGAAGTAGTAAATTAATGAAAGTTATTCCATTACGAAACAAATTGCAATGCATCGAATGTCACAACTCACAAGTTTCAGCCAAATGTTTATCGCAAGCCTGAGTGGCGCAAGGTTCTTCATGGTCAACAGTGCTAGAAAGTGGAAATACTCTTGAAATTCGTCCGCGAAAAGATTTAAAAATTTCTTCTCTAATATCTTTTAAACACAATCCGAACACCAGCGGATCGAGCATTGCTTGACCGTAGAACGTCACGTCCTCCAGCCAGTGCAACCAATCCGGGTCGACGAAAATAGTGAAGCGCCGAATCATAAAAGGCACATTGGATGGTACATAGCACACAACGACACTGACAGTCATAAAGGTCAAGGCAGCAAAAGAGCTTCTTGTTTTGCCTCTGTGCTTTTCTTCACCGATAATCCGTCCATTCTTCTGATGAATCCTTGCCGATTTTTTAAGCAGCAGAGTTTTTCTCAAAATCAACGGATACGCACCGATGACAAAGCATATAGGAAAAGCGTACGCAATAATTGCCAGTGCATCTAGATAAACATCCGATGCCTTCACATCGAAACCACATTCAAAAATCCCATAAGGTTCATATACTAAACATATAACGACCACCGGCAACGCAAAACAGTGCATAATCAGCCAGACTACGCTGCATATGGCAATTGCTGTTCGTGTGTTATGATGCTGCCGATAATTATTCGGGAAAAATATCGCCCACAGGCGGTTCATAGCGACGAGTGCGTGGCAGTACATGGTGATGGCTGACACCACCCATGTTCCGTATAAAAATGCAGCACAATTAAGGAGATGTATAGTCCTGTACTCGGGAGGAAAGATTATCGCGGTGATGGAAAACGGTAGCATGCAAATATTATCCGCTAGGATATTGGAAATTAGGAGCGAAATTACATACAAAGTGAAAGGCGTAATGAGATGCCGATGGAATATTATAATGCCCAAGAGGAAGCCGTTTGGAATAATGGTTACGAGCCACCAAACGATTGCTGCTTGGTAGTAGCCAGCCTCGATATCCGATTTTGGTGGATTGCGCTCAAAAGTTGCGTTTAGCGACAGAATATTGACTGCTGCGTTTGCCATAACTTTATGATATACAGTACCGGCGAGTTAATTTTGAAGTACCATTGTTTAACTTTAGCCCAGATACACAGACAACCAATGAAAAACTATGAGTCTATGACTCTTATTAACCAGGTAAGCAAATGAACATAGACACTTGCTCCGTACGTAGAAGAGATATGAAACTCCGTCTAGAAGCTGGAAACGCTGTTGCAGATCATAGGTGCTTCCAGCGGCGCGCGCACTTGTTTGTGTGGCTCTGAGTATTACTGTAGTTTGCAGCAATTCCAAATCCCAATGGTGTATTTAATCTCAATGAATTATCACGGCGATGGTGGAAATTTACATGACCAGCTGAATTCATGAGAAGCGCATTATTAAAGTACAGCACTCAACGGACCAATGATGGATGGCTGTTTCCACGAAGTTGCATTTCATTATGCTGCATAATATTATTCCTTTATTTTCACTTATTCATTTCATTTCGTTTTCCTTTCACTGGTTCGTTTTATTTCATGTTCACTGACGCAATCAGTCACTCAATGATTTCAAACCGCAAACAATGTCACTGTGTTTAAGAATAACGTGCCGTTAGCTGTATCTTCACACCGAAAACCGATGGAAGTAGTGACAGCACTATATATCTTTTCTATGTTTACCAGCAGTCTTTGATAACAGTGATATCAGTTTTATTTTAGAATAATCTAAGCTTGACGAGCAACAGCACGTGCGAATTTTCGAAAAGGCCACGAGAAAATTTTAATCAGCTCGTCTCTGGTGTCTTTCATACCAAAGCCAAACACAAACGCGTCGATGACCGCTTGCAGATAGTATGCCGCATCCTCATAATACGACAACCACGCCGGCTCCGTGAATGTTGTAAAGCGCCGCAGCACAAAAAGCAAATTAGTCGGCACATAGCATACCGCTACGCTCGCTGTCATAAAGGTCAACACTGCAAACGATTTCGCTGATTCTTTGGGACGAAATGCAGTTTTAGGCGCTCCTCCGTGAAGCTGATTGTCAATATTCACGTGCGAAATTTGTTCTCCTCTGTGTTTTAGGGGACTATTCCATACAATTTTCCATAAAATGAAAGGGTACGTAGTGAGAATGAGAAGAATCGGGAATCCGTATGCGAGGACCAACAGTGAGTCGATATATGCGCTGGTCTTCAGGTCGTCGAATGCGCAGGCTGGAATACCATCCGGCTCGATAATAAGCCGCATCAGAACCTCTGGTACGGCTAGCAAATGCACCGCTGTACACATTCCCAGGCAGATGAAGGCAGCTGCTTTCCTGTTATGATATTGTCGGTAATTTATGGGAAAATAAACGGCCCATAATCTGTTGAGCGCTATTAATGCATGGCAATACATCGTGATGCTTAAGGCGACCCAAGCTCCGTACAGGTAGGCGACACAGCCGACAAGACGCACAGTTGCATATTCCAGGGAAAAATTATCGTAAATGAAAAAGTACGGGAGCATGCAGATATCTTCCGCCAAAATGTTGGAAATCAGAAGGGTAATAATATAGACCGTAAAAGATGTGATGAGATGGCGACGAAACATAAACAGTAATAAAAGGGCGCCGTTAGGTATAACCGTTAAGCACCAGTATACAGATGCTGTTGCGGAATATCCGTAGCCTGTGAACCACTCGGTTGTAATGTTGGTGTCGGAACCGTTTAAAATTAACAATTTTATCTCATTATTCATTTTCTGTTCTGCTTAAAAATGGTGCCAAATTACGCTGGCCGCCGCAAAGTTGAACGACGGAAATCACAAGCAGTAGAAATTTAAATTATGAACTTTGGGATAAGAGCTGTCCGGTGGTACTCGAGCGCCAGAATAAAAAACATGGTTTACGGCAGTAACGGCACAATACAACGCCAAATTTCATATTATGTTAGTAGGCGTCTAGGCACTGATATCCATGACTTGAGTCATACTGGACCAAACGCTGCATCGATAGCCGAACCTTTGGATAGCAAATAATATCATGGCAAAATTCCAATTTGTTTGAGGTGAAACAGACGCTCTTCTATTTGCGCAGCAGCGTTCCCAAATGTCCTGAGGCATGCATGAAAACTCTAATATGAAAGTTTACATACAGATCTTATAGCATAGTGAAAATTTGCTCTGTTTTCTGCGATGCTTGTCAGATCTCATGCACTTCGTATACCGGCATACGCGCTCAATGCATTTTCTTGTTCTGGAAAGGATGATCGCTGATTGTCAAAGGCGACGCGTTTTCTTGCATTTCACACGAAAGAATTAGAGATCAATGAAAAACAGTTTATCTAATATCGTTTAAACATAGCACAGAAACAAACATTTTCGAGGACTTCCGAGCACGAGGGTAGTGAGTAGCGAAGGAGAAAAGCGGCTAATGACAAATGGCAGCTAGGACTGCAATTTGCAGATCGATAGACGAGCCTTTGGATCGATAGTCAATCACCATAAAAATTGTTCTGAATTCCAGTCCGCCAGTAATCGGTTTGGCTGTCGCTGCATCTTTTCATCCATCGACGCGTTCCCGTGGATATAGTCTCCGTGCCATTTTTGACTGTAGCAAGTCGCTTAAGAAACGAGAAAATTTTCAATCATTGCTGCTACTGATCGACTTGTTGTGGACGTAACTCGTGATTTTTTCCAGAAACAACTGTCTGTCAAAATCTTTTGCCGTGTCGGCCAGTTCCGCAAATACCAATATGTAACCCAATGTGCTGCCTGCCGTCTATAAAAGCAAAATACAACCTTGTGTTGAAGAAAATGCTATTAAATTCCGGTTATAAGTTACAAACGCACAGCAATGGCCGATTCTCTTGTAAAAGTTACACCTCCCAGGGTAAGGGCGATAGGCTCATCCGACAGCAGATTTAGATAATGCTTCAGGTGGGTATTAGTGCGTGCTTCTTTATGCAAGACATAGCGAATCGCTTGGCTCTGAAAACACACAGAAAAGTAAGCAATGATACAAGACATTCTCACCATGATTTACCTGTTCCAAAAGGAATACTAGTGTCGCCATGTGAATTAGCAAAAACGCTGAATACATAAAAAGTTCAGCTCCAGAGGTAATCGCTATGCGCATGGAATCCTCCTGTAGTGCATGCTGGAAGGCTCCGCTGATTGTGTAACCCGACGTCATCAGCAGTGCCCACAATTCAATGCAGCGTACAAAATTTACCCAGCGCAGTAATGTGTCAAACCAGCGCACGCATTCTCGCAAGTATTCGTGATCTTTTTGCAGCAGCATAATTCCTGCTCCGCTCTTTTTTGGCAGCATTCTCAGCAGTAATGAGCCATTAATCGTGAGTCGTCGAAATATCAAACCGGCTACCAGGACGATCATTACGATCATCAGCTGGACCAATTCTTTGCTTAACGTACCAATATTCCACACCACATTGTAAAATACTATAATAAAATATCCCAAATTGACGGGCAGTACTGCTACATAACGCGTCTGATAATACTGTAAGTCCACGTCCAACTGTTGCAGGTCACTGCTTAAGACATACATCTTCGGTCCGAGACAAATTGCCGTCCAAGTCCCACTAACAGCAATAATTGCTGCTCTGTCGAAAAACGTCAAAATTGTTGAGTATCTTGTGCTGATTTGCTGCATTATTGTATAAAGTTGCTGTCCAGAATTTTTTACCAGTAGAATGATTGTGGGCAACGTTAGCATATCAAAGATTCGGACGGTTAGGACTATATACGAAGAAAAGTGCGTAAAAGATGATACATCTGATGTGCTGCTGTCAAAGGCGTAATATGCCAACGCGAACATTGAAAGAGTTATCATCACTGTGGACACCGTTTTTAGCGTTTTTGAGAACCAGCGGTTGGTGTCACCAATAACGGGAGTGTGCATAATGCCAAGAACGTTGACAAGAAAAAACAATGGCCTTATCGCCTTCTCAATGAATTCGACCATTCCGAAGTAACGCGAAACACTTGATCATGGATTAGAAAAACTCTGCCGGAAAATGATTCACCGTTGACCAATTATAGCTAAATACTGTGTGTCTCAAAAGCTGTTTAGCGATGGGACTGACGTTCGTTACCGTAATACTGTACATAAGCCGCAGGTACAGACTTGTATTTATTTTAGATTGAATTTCAGGAATACCAACATGAGCTTTCGCTTTTGCTCAACGGCAGTATCGCCGAACGCATACTATATTGCAAACATACAGCATCCATTGCTTCACCTGGACGCCACGACACGCAGAGCCTAACAAGTAAGCCATTCAGATCGCTAAATGCTAAAGGCAGACCACAAGTTTAATAAAATGAATATTATAATGGCTAAAAATGCCATACGCTGCTCTAACGAATTCTTCGTTATAGTCATTAGCTAGAAAGGAAGAAATATGGAGAACGTCAGTAAGTTTAGTTACTGAAGGGCGCATACTGAGGAGGTCCTTGCTGACCAGCTTGTTGGCCTTGTTGTTGCTGACCACCTTGTTGCTGGCCACCTTGTTGGGGAGGTCCTTGCTGACCACCTTGTTGTTGCTGACCACCTTGTTGGCCTTGTTGTTGGCCTCCTTGTTGGGGAGGTCCTTGCTGGCCGCCTTGTTGGGGAGGTCCTTGCTGGCCGCCTTGTTGGCCTTGTTGTTGCTGACCACCTTGTTGCTGACCACCTTGTTGCTGGCCACCTTGTTGGGGAGGTCCTTGCTGACCACCTTGTTGTTGCTGACCACCTTGTTGGCCTTGTTGTTGGCCTCCTTGTTGGGGAGGTCCTTGCTGGCCGCCTTGTTGGGGAGGTCCTTGCTGGCCGCCTTGTTGGCCTTGTTGTTGCTGACCACCTTGTTGCTGACCACCTTGTTGGGGAGGTCCTTGCTGACCACCTTGTTGTTGCTGACCACCTTGTTGGCCTTGTTGTTGGCCTCCTTGTTGGGGAGGTCCTTGCATACCTCCTTGTTGGGGAGGTCCCTGCTGACCGCCTTGTTGACCGCCTTGTTGAGGAGGTCCTTGCATACCACCTTGTTGGCTTTGTTGCCCGCCTTGCTGGGGAGGTCCTTGCTGACCGCCTTGTTGGGGAGGTCCCTGCTGACCGCCTTGTTGAGGAGGTCCTTGCATACCACCTTGTTGGCTTTGTTGCCCGCCTTGCTGGGGAGGTCCTTGCTGACCGCCTTGTTGGGAAGGTCCCTGCTGACCGCCTTGTTGACCACCTTGTTGGGGAGGTCCTTGCTGACCGCCTTGCTGACCGCCTTGTTGACCGCCTTGTTGAGGAGATCCTTGCATACCACCTTGTTGGCTTTGTTGCCCGCCTTGCTGGGGAGGTCTTTGTTGACCTCCTTGTTGGTTTCCTTGTTGGCCACCTTGTTGTTGGGGAGGTCCTTGTTGCATTTGGGAAGGATGAGCATGCATAACGGCAACAAGGCCTACAATGTAGTAGCGCATCGTTATTTGCTCGAACGAGTTCTACATGATTACAGAATGTATTGGATGTATCGGAACTGTTTGTAGAAACCGGTTCCTTTCGTTGCAGTTATGCTTTGTAGCTGCATGATGAAATCAAAAGATCGAATCTAACGGGAATTCAACATGTTCCAAAAAAGTCATAATCGAAGTCAACTTTAACGGTTGCCATAAATTTATAGTTTTAACTGCACTACAGACAAATGCAAGACGATGGTGTGCAAAGAAACTCTTAAAAATCAGCTTAAATTTATTTATTAAGCCTCTAATTAAAGTATTACAATGGCTTGTACATATGTGTGCTACTCGTATAGTATTAATTTTTATAACAAGTACATATTACTCGTACTAGCACTTTTCTCTTCTGTACTAAAAAATTTAAGATTCTTAAAGAACAAATGACTCACCGGCCAATGCAAGGAATACTAAGGTAGATTTCATGGTAGCGGCTGCAGAATTGAAAGTGGATTTGTTGTTGCTGCAGAAAGGACAAGCTTTTATCAAGGCAGAGAACAATAGGTTGTGATTACTGATTGCTAAATTAACGTCGGAGCTATATATAGTAAAGTCGGTAATAGGGAAGCCGGATGTCCATCGCCAAGGAGACACGAAAAACGGGTGCAAACACCACAGTATTTTGCAGTTTTGAATTTTCCGGCGTTACTCCGAGCATATTGATAACGTCGATTTTTGCATTAACCCACACCTGGGCATCCGGCTGTTAAAAGCCGTTTGCTGATTGCAGCAGAACGTTGAGCATATGTCGTCAGCTATGGATGATGAATTCCGGCAGCCACACCGGTAGTTGAAGTGTCTCCACGTGACACTTGTACCCTTACAGTTCACGTTTTTCGGCTGCCATGACATGCAAACTTGTCGAGGTTTCTCAAGCGTTGGACCACATAATTCAGAGAAGCAAGTTCCTGTGCGACTGCGCGTAGCATTTTTTATATCGGATAACGTATTGGGATGAGCAGCTTCTAACGCCGTCAATGAATTAAACTTACTGGAATCTCCCCTGTGCTTATAACATTAATTTTTGAGCCGCCGTATCTTCCATAATTTTCTTTCGTTCGTATCAGCAGCTCTTGCAGATATGCAAATCGATACGTCCTGCATATTTTCCTCCGAAACGTTAAGTCTTCATGAGTTTACTGTCTTACAAATTTCAGTACTGTACGTATGTTGCTGTGAGCTGAATGTTTTCTGTTTTACAGAGGGAAACAAACGTTTTCGTCAAACATAAACAACAAACATACTTACAGTATAGCACTCTTTCGCTTGTACAGATATGCATCAACAATACATTTTTACTTTTTTACTACTCGGCTTCGGTCATCATTGTAACAACAGAATTACGGAAACAGTGAACCGGACTACAACTCGTACGGTTGCAGTAACTCTGTTAGGATACTTAATTAACCTGTTTCTTCCCATTGATATCAAAGTGATACCGGGGAGGACTTTTACTCCTGTACCTGAACGCAGCACGGGAATTTTGATCTTTCAGTTTTATTAGCGAGTTAAGATGTTGAGGCCCATTTTACAAAGCTTGACCGCTAAGTACAAGTCTACGGCACACTCGCCAGTGGTCACCAAAGTCGACCATTTTTCGATATCATGGGTGACCGAAGTTCGCTAACACCTCCTGGCCATTCGCGTGATGGGAAAAATGTAAATAAATGAATTAGATAGTTGACTTTATGTGTTACCTGACACAACTTAAATTTTTGTATTATGTGAAATGGGTGACCACTGGTGATCTTTTAAAAAACATGGTAGTTGTATAAGTCAGCAACATGACGGTCAGCAAATTGTAGGTCGGCGAATTGACGTGCTACCCATTTTGACAACAACGGGCAATGGGGTACATTACATCCAAAATACTGTAGCCGCTAGATGAAGTGAGACCACAGAGTCTGGTGTACGGAAAAATGCAAGCTCAATATACATACTTTGCTCCATGCAAAAATGTTTTTGATTTCCCTCTGCTGCTACCAACATTTGACATGTTTTACTGTTCTTTGCTATTTTTTTAATTCTTTGCAATGAAAGATATTAGTTTTAAGAGCACAGTGACAGAGCTCTGATAGTTTTCTGTTTATAAATCCGATTTGTTGTGGTTTCTGGGGTGCCCCTGGCAGGGGCAGCACAATACTAAATGCAGTGCAAAGTGTGCGCCACCCGGTGGGAGGAAGGCTCGTGCTCAATGCCTGACGAGTGGAAGGCAGCGCCCGGATCTAACTGTGGTCTCACTTCATCTAGCGGCTACAGTACAAGATTTTCTAGTAAACTCAGTTTAAGTCGCAACATTCTGCAGGTTGGTATTCTAAGACAACCTTTTATGGGCTTTCAACTGGAAATGTGTTGGTGGTCACCGAAGTGACCACCGTCCAGTTGGGAAAATGGATGCCCCATGAAACAGATATTTTTTGCCTTTTTTGCTGCCGAAAGTTATTGTCGCAGGACAACATGCATGCAGACAAATGGGACAAGCAAACGGTGGTCAGTGGTCACTTATTCGGCACTGTGCGTTTATCTGCGTGCGCTATACCGTAGAATACGAGCGCATAACCTGCAAGTATACGCATAAATTTCCGGTTATTTATGAGGGCTGTTGCTCTAACGTCCAGGAAAGCGTCCGAAGCTTGACCACTGACTGCGGGCTAGTAGTGGCTACCTTCTATAGTGGTCAGCGAGGCTTGCTGACTGCTCTGATACGAGCGTGGTCTGAGGTAATCAAGTTAACATTGAGCTTTTGGCGTTAATCATTGACCGGAAATCAAATACCGATGCGATTTCGCCCCTGTGGGCTATAATTTTAGCTGTGTGACGATTGAATGCTCTTCTAGTGACCCGCAGCGTTAACTGGACAGTGTCCAGTATTCCCACAGACGGTTTTTGATTGTTTTCTGTACAGTTTCTGTATAGCCAAACGATTTGAAGCAGTCAGAGATGGAATATTGTGTTGCTGACCGGTGGTCATTTCGACGGCTACCAATACTATGCTCACAAATAGCCCCTTGAAAACTGTCTAGTTTAAAATGTTTGTTAGCCAAAAATATTTTATATTTCAACCTTAACAAACAAAAATTAAATTTGTCACGCGTACCAATCCGCCCGTTGTTGTCAAATTGATACCATTCTGCTGTAGCTGACCTATGGCTAGCAAAATTCTGAAAAAAATTTGATTTCTTGATTGAATTATTGTATCGACAATTCTTAATTTTCATGGTCTAATTCGCACGGGATCGGGCACCGGGAAGTCCTGGGTTAAATGACAGATCATTTAATCCAGCATCACATTTATTGTAAAAATTAAGTATAGAAGTATTCCTGAATACGCTTAGAAATAAGTTAGAAAAACAGTCTTTTCAGCGACGCAAGTAGTGTGCAGTAAGTAGCCGTAAGGTAAGTTATACCCTTATGTATACAGTAGTTCATTAAATCTCTTCCGCGCAGTTTGCGCGGGGCCTACTAGTAATAAATATTAATTTTATTGCAAACACTGATGAATCAAATAGCCCGGTAATACATTATTTTATTATCATAGTCCTTTTTTCATGCCATGTTAATCCATCTGTAGGACAGAGCTGCCAAGTTAATAATGCAATCTAAAATAAAAATGGGTTAAATAATAAGTCAGTTATTCAGGCTGCAATCTAAGCAGGGCACAAAGAAGGTTTCTCTAATAAGTTCTGCAAAACTCGTCGGTCAGTTGACTGAAAGATGCCAGGCAACACGATTTAATTCACTACTAGACAAGTGCGAGCAACAAGAAAGACCCACTGACTTTGTAAAGAGTACACCCGAACCTTCCGATGGACAGTTGCAATATTCACCACAATAAACAAAGATCATCAGCTGAACCAAGGTTGCAAGCTATTACAAGATGGGCATACTCAAGACCGCAGTAAATGTAAAAGAGACCTTGCTTTGGAAATAACGAAGTCAGTTGGTTGAACACACAGCAGACTAGCAGAGCAACTCTCTGTACCTAGAAAACATCCACATTAGACTCGGCAAAAACTAAGTACTCGTACTTTCCATACAAAACCCGTGTACTCTTTCATGACGTTTTACGTCCTGCAGCCGACAATGCGCCTCACGCATAATCGCAGCGGTTTACTGGTGAGCACAATCAGCACCGGATCCAGCACCTGCTGAAGCGTATACACTGCCAGTAGATTCAAAGGCAGTTTCCGCTCGCTTTCCGTGCGGTTGCGGAATCCCCACACCACGTACATGGTCTCGTAGGGGAGCCAACATACCACCGCACCTATTGTCAGAAAAGAAAATACTGCGAACGATCCGTTGAACTTGTTCTGCCGAATGGCACCCATCTGTTCGCTCATCTGCGATAGACCTTTTCTCATAGCTGCTCTTTTGGCGCTGCGATGCAGTCTCACCATGAGATAAATCCACGTAAACAGAACAAACACTACAGGGAACTCAAAGATGAGAATGATGGAGATCTCGTACCACACCGGCATTCTAAATGTATTAACAAAGCAACCGTATTTATCCAGTGGTGGGCGATAGTACCAGGCATTTATCGCTACACTCGGTATCGTTAGAACCTGCACATATACGAATGCTGCTGCACTTAAAACAATCGCCAGTTTGATGCTATGGTGATTGCGGTACGATATGGGTAGGGCGACCGCCCAGATTCGGTTAACCGCTATCAGAAGGTGGACGTTTTCCGGCAATCCGGATAGACACCATCCAACGTACAGCCGCAAATCGCATAAAACTGGATGGTAGAGAAAATGAGGGCAGACTTCTTGTATCGCGTTGCAAAAGCTGCGACCCGAACACAGGACATTGGCGATGGACAAAGCAATGAGGTACACAGAGAACGGGGAACGGAGTTCGCGGTGGAATATGAAAATTACCACGAGAAGAGAATTCAAAACAACCATAAGGATACCGCACGTCAGAAGAAAAATTACTTCCGGCGTTAATGGCGCGCAGATGTGCAAGGCATTTAGAGTCTGGTTGACGCTGGCGTTTTTCATTGAGGACAGGAAAAACTCACGTTCCTCCCGGGAGATGTTGTAGTCGTAGCTCATTGTTGCTTGGAATTTTGTGAAGATCGGCTTAAGAAGATGCGGCCGCAAAAACTACGAACTTGTATTACTGGAAAAGCTGCGGCATAGACGGAAAATTCTAACAGGCTGCGCCTTTGCGCGACCGCTTTGTTGGGAAATTTTAACTGGTTGGCTGCTTTGCTGTTTCATTTGATTTGACATTTTACTGTCAGAATGAACTTTACCAAAAACAGGTGTGACGGTATTGTTGTGAAGGGAATCGTCCCTCCCCTTGCAGTTGTATGATACGCCTCTATGTATGTTCCAGTATCTCTGTTTCCGCCCCTTATTTGGGAGTATATAATATAGCGATGATGTGCACGGGTTCCAAGAGAGTGTGTTAGTGTTTCAGTTCTGGTCGAGTATTAAAGTTGTTTGCCGAGTATTATATTTTCCCCTGCCGTTCCTCGCCACATTGTCATTCTTATTGTGTACTGAAATGTCACATCGTCGTTATACCGCCAAAATACTATGATTTTACTTTTTTGCAATGGCCGATGCTGTTTTTGGATTCGTTTCAAATGTCCGTTTGATGAGACGGTAGCATCTGAGCAGACCTAGAAAGCACTATCTGTGCGGACTGCGGAGTAGGTCCAGGTCCCGTACAGGCCGTACTCAGTGTATTGGTAACTCATCGTCAGCACTATCTGTGCGGAGTAGGTCCAGGTCCCGTACTACAGGCCGTACTCAGTGTATTGGAAACTCAGTACTCAGTGTTTTATACGATACAGCTCAAAATAATAATTTATACCCAGTCTAATCCGCTTGCGATATGTACACGATACGGTCGATTCCTACTGGCAGATCAGTACCAATGCCGACGACGATTAAAATTTCATCTGTACTCGTATTGCCGAAGAGAGCAGCACTTTCAGTATGAAAGCTCAACATCAAGTCATCGGCTGCTCTTCAACAAAAGAGAGTGTTTACTGAAGTACACTAGTAAGTACTTGATAAATAGACGAAAAAACTTGTTGCTCTACCCAAATGGTTGACATTTTGGCAAAGCTCCCGTATCATTATTCATTAGTCATATTTAAAGAAACACTAAATCACAATATGTAATGTGATTGTTGATGACAGTCTTCGGTTGTTACTCACGTGTGAATTTTGCTTTGCTTCTATTTTGCTGCATTCTGTCACTTATATACTGCCTCGGTCTTCTTTACAAAGCCATGCAGTGCCGATGCCTTTTTTACGTCGCAACCGCAGCCACAACAACGATCATAAGTCTGTGCAGTACGGATCCCGCTAATTAATCGACATATGCAGTGCCCAAAACAGCAGTGAGTGCGCTGTACCCACAGCCACCTACCCTAGGTAAGATCCTGACTGCAATTGCGCACCTCTGGATGCCGGTATACTTCAAACTCCCTTAACCGCTCTTCGAAGTCGACTCACACCCTACCTGGGACACAAATTATCGCGAATTCAGGGCTAGTTTAATACGATGTTTTATGTACAGTGCACGTGCAGGCGTAGAGCAAGCCCGCGTTCTTGACGAACAATACCGTTTATAAATTCTACGGTCAAACAGATCGGCAATTTTCGTCATTCAAAGATAATTTCAAAGATTATGGAGCCAAGCGCCTAGCACAAAACAAAGTAAGCTTTTGCGTTTTAAAACAAAACGTCGCTGATTAGTTGACAAAAGTAGATTTTTTTTAATTGCAGAATTCAATTATTTCTGAATTAGCATGGTCCTTACAAGCACGAGGACCCAGTTGTGGTTGGACTTCAGGTTCGAGCTTAGGCTCAAAATGAAGCTTAGAAAGTACTTTATTTTTTACCATTTTTATCAATGCCACTGATATTATAGATAAGTTTAAAAAAGCACTCAAAGTTAGTATTGAGTAGCGTTCCATGACGTCGGTATGCGCAGATCAAAAGCACCGCCTTCACATGCGCAGCCGCCGCACCGCTGCTGAAACTCAGGTAACCGCCCACCCAAATTGCAGCATGCGAAAACTAAATTGATTTTACTTTCTTGACTGATCATACATATTTTAATGTTTTTAAAAATGATATTGATATGGAAAACGTTTTCGGTAAATCGAGTGTGTGTAAATATAGCAAGTTGAACTGTGAAACCACTGCCCCTCACACCAGGGGCGCCCCAGAAACCACAACAAACTAGGATTTAGGTATGTTTAAACAGAGATACAATTTAACCTAATTATTGGCAACAGAAATTAAAAGAATCGACGAATTCCAGGCTCTGATATTGTTCCATTCAAGTGTGAATCCGAGTTTGTTGTGGTTTCTGGGGCGCCCCTGGTGTGAGGGGCAGTGGTTTCACAGTTCAACTTGCTATATTTACACACACTCGATTTACCGAAAACGTTTTCCATATCAATATCATTTTTAAAAACATTAAAATATGTATGATCAGTCAAGAAAGTAAAATCAATTTAGTTTTCGCATGCTGCAATTTGGGTGGGCGGTTACCTGAGTTTCAGCAGCGGTGCGGCGGCTGCGCATGTGAAGGCGGTGCTTTTGATCTGCGCATACCGACGTCATGGAACGCTACTCAATACTAACTTTGAGTGCTTTTTTAAACTTATCTATAATATCAGTGGCATTGATAAAAATGGTAAAAAATAAAGTACTTTCTAAGCTTCATTTTGAGCCTAAGCTCGAACCTGAAGTCCAACCACAACTGGGTCCTCGTGCTTGTTAGCATAGTTGAAACATCCTTTTACTACAAGAGCTTGTACTTCTATCAAAACGATCCTGGTCCCGTTCGTGCCGGTCGAAATTTCCTCCACAATCGGATGTATCCATTTTTCGTTTTTTGTACCAAATTTGCCATCTAAAAGCACACCACAGAATTGGTGGCGCTACTTCCGTGCGACAGGATTAATGCGATGTATGAATACCACTTTGGAAAGTCCATCCAGGCTCGCAGCACAAAAACGAGCCCCATCATCAGCCACGATGCCACAAATATGAGGAACACTTTAAACAATGTGTCACGAGTACTCCTCGTGCCATAGCTTGCTTAGATGCTTCTATATATGGCGATCCTCTTGTTCTATGTGTCATCCTTCATTGTTTCAAGCTCAGTGCTTTTGATCATTAGCGCTGCTAATGATCATCGTTCGTTGTGCAATCTAGCCTTCGGCTAGTTTGTTTGTTTGTTTGTTGCCTTCCTATATAATGCTAGCGCATTATAATATGCTAGAGCAGAGAGTAGCCAATAAAGGTCCAGCTTCAGTTGTGTCGTCCCGCCACGTCAGGGCACGTCGTACAGCCCGTGCCCTTGACAAATGCCTTCAGTAGTTTCACCTCATCGTGCACAGTGGTGGTCTCCGGTTTAACAGTCCTGGTGCATGCATCCGATTCTTGCCCTACAAATTAAATATTCCCTTTATTACTTTGGATGTTTTGGCATTTCGTGCTGGCCTGATTGGCACCAAACTGCTGTAATGGTTTCGCACTTCGAAAGTCCTTGAATTCGTCCTATTAAAACTTCTACTTTACTTTGCAAATGCAAGGGCAGAAAATTTAACAATAAGAAGTGTCAGTCTGCTGTCGCTCGTGTACAGATAGGCCGGAAAGATAGAAACAAGTCGGATACGTCCCTCGTAGAGAGAAGGGAAATAATATCGATATATGAACGACAACCAAAATTGAAAATACCTCAAACAAAATACGATCCATTTTTTCCAGATAAGTTATTCTTGCTATTTCTGCTCGCCTACTGACATTTTGAGGTATTTCGACAAATGTATATTACTTCCTTTTGTGCCAAGAGCTCGATATATCTGACACAAAGCGGCGCCGGTATTTCAGCGTATCCCACTTGCTTTCTGTCGTATTTTTGGTTAATTTTCCGTTACCTCGCTTGCGTGCTTACGTCATTCTTTTAAGTAATGAACTGCAGTTTTCTAGCGCATCCCCTATTGTTTTATTTCACAAATATAATATAAGAAACCTTAAAAAAATCTTAAGCATAAAAAACCTACCCTAATAAGAAGCTCGAATGGTAAGAAGTTTCAGTGCGCGGTAAACAGGAATACGTACATTACACGTAGATTTTGGCTATACATGCAAGGTTATTGAAAATACTAATACATGCATTAAACCAGAATGTAGGCGTAATACAAGTGGAATAAAGCAAGAATACAGGTGGTGTTCGTCCAGAACTGTATCGCATGACGAATATCGAGCACAGAAAGCGGTGTACAGGTCACATACAATGGAAATCAGGAATACAATAATACACAGCAAGAAAAGAAGTCTCATTTTCAGAGTGGTACGAAACGTACGATAGTTACTGTGCGTTTATGCAAAAGATACAGCTTACCCGTACTCGTGCTGGAAGGTTTTGCACTTTTGTTACCGATGATTTGTCGGCGCACCGCTTGACTACGACGCACCCGGAGATAGATCATTAAGTACGCATAGAAACTGATGCCGATTGGTAGGAGAATAGAGCTGATTCCCAAGAAAAGAGAGTACGACCACAAATGTAATTTCGTAGTGCAGAGATACAGATCATCGGAGTAACCGGTGCTACCCCATCCCACGTAATTGGGCAGATGCAGGCCGTGTACAATGATCCACATGCCAATAAGCATTAATGCTGTTTTTGCCTGCTGATATTTGACAGTTGCTTATAGCAACTGTCAAATATCAGCAGCCCGCTTGTATCTGCGACACGACTGCTGCGCACGTATCTGTTACTCATCTTTCTTCTATGACTAAGAGAAAAAACTGAAATATGTTCCCACCAGTGATAACGGATACACGAGTAGAAATAAATACCATATCTGAGAGCACCGTGAATTCTGCAATAAATCAGCTATCATTGCCGTTTACTGCCACGGTCAACAAAACACAACAAGTGCAAACTTATTGAGAAAATAATTTAAGCTTAATGACATGCAATAATTAAATTTTTCTTCGTGTGTGCAAAATTTGCTAATTAGGCGCTAAAAATTCAGGTGCAAAATTACTAATTAGGTGCAAAATTTGCTAATTAAGTAGGTGTAAATGTTCTAATTAGGCGTAAATGATTCCAGTTATTCAAAGTTCATCAAAGTTTTGCTTAATTACTAATTAGTAATTTAGTTAATTAAACCATATTATCTCAACACTTAATTACGGACTACAGCGTAATTTCATACAGCCTAATGCAGCACGGAATCATTACGAACATTTATAAGCAGCTCAGGATAATTTTAACGAGTTGATGTGCGGTCGTGAATGTGGCCACGAATTATAAAACCGAGCTCAACAGCTCGGTTTTATAATTCAGCAACTGATTCTCCATCTGACCAATGCGCGCAGCGTTATCAGTGAATCTGCCTGACTCACAAATCAATGCGTGAGTTGGAGCGCACTCGAGCGTTTTGACCTAGATACAATTCGCATCTGAATCCAAATAGTGGTAAATTTGACAGTTGCTATAGTGGCAAATGCAGATGTATCTGTTAAAAGAAAACGTTTGCAAGCTACGCTTCAGCATTTGGAACAGAAGTAATGTTTAACGTAAACTGTTTGTAGGGAAGAGTGACCCGGAAGACTGGAAAACGGTTTTGTTAATTTACTGAATCACCGTGTACAAAAAAAATTTAGAACGTTAATATTTTCGTTGCATTGTAATCTCACACCATTCTTAATGTGTGAAAGTCTATAACGTTCGAGGGATTACAGATCACGTCATCCTTGCAATTCTTCCAGCCCTGGTTTACTTGCGTTTTCGAAAAAACACCGCTTCACTAATTATACTGTGGTATCTGGGCACTTTGGTTTAGGTACAAAAGTCGTATCCAGATGTTTCCTTCAGGTCATGATCGTAAAAGTCTTGGCAAAATTTACGACAGATGTTTTGGACGGCTATGCCCGTGCTGAGCTTGTCTTAATGAGCGCTTTTATATTTTTTGTATAAGCCCGATGTGCTTGTACATATAAGCACAATATTTGTATAAGCACGATTTATTCGACAAAATTTCATAGATATGGAAATGGCTATTCTCACCACCCTGACATCGCCGTGGGCTATAGTCACCCCTTTCACCCCGTTTTTGGCTACTCGCATCACCTTTGGCTATTCTCATCCCCTTGCGGCTCTACTGCTTTATAACACTATGCCTTTCCCAATATTATTTTCGGGTGTACTTCTGTAACTTTAAGTTAAAGTTGCTAGAATCTGTTTCAAATATTAACTTTGACTTGTTGAGATCAATAGCTCGGTATCACAGGGCAGAATTGAAAAATATTGTTCTGTTAAACTACACATTACCGCGTCGCTATTCTCCAAACAAAATAAATAAATAAAAATCCACAACAGAATAGCCGTTGGCTGCTAGCCACTGAAATATTTCCTTAAGGCTGGGCTGGGCTGGTCAGGGGTGGCCAAAATTAATAGTGATCATGAGCGAATACTTGTTTTACACTTTTCTACACTACTTAATACTTACCTTTCCATGCTAATTGCCGTAATGCACCAGATGGATCCGGTACAGGCCGCAACGCAGATGGTGCCATCCAATTCACAGAACCAGGGATGATCGCGGAAAACGGTAGGCCCCGAAACGGTCACTATAAAACATACAATTACTCAATATAATTATAGTATTAATTTAAAACGTTTCACGAACACATGAGATCAGAAATGAACTAACAGCCGCAGAAGTACTAACGTGGGGATACTACCCTTCAGTTACCTGCATTTGTTACCCATCAGCAAATCGTTTTTTTAAATTTATACGACCAGCACAAAGAAGAATGACTAGTGGTAAGGGTGCCTGTTAGCTGTTACCGGTAATACATGGCACGTACCTCTGGTAACCGAAGACATTTATGTACCTAAAATATTTACTGGAAGGAGTATTCCCGTGACCAGCAGGTCGGCAGCCGCCAGATTTACGACGAAAGCGTATTCGATTATATGCAGTTCGCGGATCACCAGCAAGGAAACGATCACCTGTAACAATGTTAATTTTGGTAAAATACATAAAATTCTGTACATTGGCCTGGGTCAGCGAAAATTTGCATCCGGAAAAACTCTTACTAATACATTGACCAATATTCCTACAATCGCCAAAAGGGTCATAATGGCTACGAAAAAATAATTCAACGTTGACTGCTGGTGCCATTGTAGCTCGAAGGCTAAAATTTGCGATTCCCAAAAGGTGATATTAGAGTTCGTATAAAAGGAGGATGTTGTGTTCGGCATCTTATCATCCAATATAAGAGAAATTTCAACATAATTATTGACAAAGCAAAAAGACAATCGGTGATTATTTCACTACGGGATTGTGTATTGATTATTCCCTTTCAACACCTGCAGCGCGAAAAGACTCATCACACTAAGGCCACGTATGATTGTGAATGTCGTTAAATTTAAGTTTATGCCTTCGAGAAGCAAGTGCTCGTACGTACATCCGTCGGAGGGAAAAGATAACTAACACATAAATCCTTCCGAAGTTATCCAAGCGAATATGTGCGATTCGAAAAGCTATCTTACAGTCGTATCATTGGCGGATTTGACTTATTTTCAAGTGTCAGCGTCACCCATTAAAATGCGTCCCACTTGTTTATAAGAAAGGGGATTATACCGTCCCGCTAAAGTGAATGAGCTCAATTAAGCTGCCGGTTGAAATGCTTTCAGTATAAAGTTTCGGTTATTGCCGTGTAACTCCGGCTGAGTTTAGAAAAGTTCACATCCTGTTAGCGGTAATGAGAATGTGCTTCAGTTCCATGTTCCATGTGGAATAGGAACATCAGAGCGGGAAGAGATTTCAAGACAACCATAAAAGTTTTGCATGGCAGAAAAAAGGTCACTTTTACTTCGGTGGTCAACGTTGCAAGTGCCATGCAATAATAGTCTGATTAGCTGTAGCGTTTTTCGGTAAGGACAGAAAGAGCTCGCAACATAAGCCGATTCTCTATTGGTTAAATCGAACTGAAATTAGTGAGGGGAAAATGCGTTTTTAGGGATTAGGAATCACTGAGCATCCTTGGGGGCGAACAACCACTCGCGCACCCCAATATTAGGAGGCCAGTTTGCAGGAGTAAACATTTTATCCGACTCATGAGCATAAGAACCAACACGTGCAAGACTTCTGTTCAGGTGCCAGCATCACTAAATGCAATTGCGCACTAATTGTTTGAAAGAAGCGGATTAACGTCCCGTTAAAGTGAATGTGCTAAATCAGTCTGCGGACAGATAGTGCTGATATGCAGGATGTAAAGGTTGGCGGTGGGCACCTGCCACCGGCTGTTGCCACTGACACTGGCACTGTTTCGAGCAAGCGGTAAAACACTGGAGATACAAAAGCAGTTCCATATGCAGCTCTGGCCGTTATTCAGGTATTTCAATGAGACCGAGCCGGCGTCTTGTACAGTTTTACCCATCTGTTCGCTCGTCCGCGACAGACCTTCCCTCACAGCTGCTCTTTTGCTGGCGCGACCCATTTTCACCCGGAAGTAGGTACCCGGCCTTTGAAGTCAAAGCGTTGCAACTGTATTCCACTGACCGTGGGACATAATGCATTTTCTCTAATCCCTATATTAACGCGACGAAAAGCGATTAGAAGAAATCCAGAACAAACTTTCCCACACTTGATTATTGATTAAGAATTTGATTATGCAACCAAAACATTAATACACAATTTTTTATTTGAAATCTCATCACAGCAACCGACATGGTACAAAAATTTCCCTTTTAGCACCGTATATCCTTTTTGGAATGGCAGATGCTGCTTTTTGGTTTCTTTAAGAGCGTAGTTTGGCGAGACGGCAGCACCTGACTATGAGCTGAATGACAACGTGACCATCTGTACTGAGTGTACCAGAAGTCCAGAACAGTTCTTACTCAGTTTAATGAGAATAAGAGGGCTGTTATACAATAAAGGCGCAAATCGCAATGGCAGTTAAGTCCTTCACCATACCGGCGGAGCAGTACAGATTCTGAAGTGGATCAACGTTTCGATCTGAATCGACCAACCCAGATTATACGATTATATGTATTATTGCCCAGCCACCTTTTACCGGAAGTGAGAACCACATCGCGCTTGTAATCTCAAAATCTTAACGACTACACCACAACCAAAGAGAAGTGGACCGAGTTGGCTATGTAGTACTTGATTACATTAAAGTAAATAAACACTTATGAATGTTGCCGGTTTGAATTTTTACCTGTCTGAGTAACAACTGAAATCACTCAATCATATAAGTACGTACAGTAAGTTCACCGTTTCGGTAATCAACCATACAGTGTCAATTTCTCGATTCTCGTGTTTTAGATTATAGCTTCTTACAGTGGAGGTACCTTGTTGTTTGAACACGGCCTGTTGTTTCAGCGCAATTGAACTCATTTTGCTTGTCACCTGCCACCTATTTTGAGGAACCTACGCAGATAAAATTTAGCAACAAAATGGGACTAGTGCCTCACAAACGCGTGCAAACACCTTTGAGAAGGTACGGTTAAAAATGATAGGACATGGTAGCGAGTATTTTTGCTCTATTTTCAATACGTCAGAGCTGCATGTCAGTATCCCATTCAAGTGTCAAACGTCCTCTTTTATACACGAGATATTTAGATAAAAAAAAGCTTTATTCGAGACTGAGTATGCGCCTTTTAAAGTTTTAATTGTGTTCCATGAAACTGCAGACTGTTACTGGCATAATAAGTAACACCAATGGACGACCACACCACTTTTTGCCGCAATGGACAATCACACCAATTTTTCGGCAGAAGGCGTGTCCCTCAATGCTCGTCTCTCACCGAACTGGCATTCTAGTCCACATTACTATCGTATTACCATAATCTGGTGGATTTTTACACTGCTGCCGAATTGTTTCCTCCTGCTGCTCTTTGTTCTGCGTCGGCACCTTATCACGCCATTCACTATTTACATTATTTCGCTGTTAATTTCAAACATCTTAGCGGATGATGTGTGCACTCTACCATACTCATTAACAAGACCGTTCGTGTCGTCTGAGCACACGAAAACCAACTTTATTCGGTGCGTTTTGTATCTGTGCGGTGAATGGGTGATTATGAGCATTACAATATATTGTCATGTTCTCATCTCCGCGAACCGGCTGTGGGCTGTGTATTTTCCTGTTCAGTACCGACAGCGTCACACAAAGCGGATGGGTTTTATTATCTGCGTGACGGCTTGGACAATCATTACTGTAACTACTACGCCAATGGTGTTTCTCTATCTAATTTATCAACCGGAGGGAATTCCTACCTGCACATTTGGAGATACAACGATAGATTGGTATTTGGATGCGCTGGCGCTGGGTGGATACGGTTTGCCTATTGCTTTGATTATTGCGGCGTATCCGTTTATTCTGGTTAAAACATTTTGGCGACGGAAAGAGTTTTCCACAGCCTATCAAGGACCCATTAGTCAAACGGGGGCGACAATCTCCGAGCAGAAGTTAAGAAGGTCGTCAAGAGCGTCAACACGTTCCTTTGTTGCGGTGACTTTTATGACTGTCAGTGTGGTCTGCTGCTACTTGCCGACGAACTTTCCGTTCTTGGTTTGCCGTTTTACGACACTTTTCGAACCAGACTGGCTGGAGGTGCTACAAGATGCAACGTACTATCTGCAGGCTGTGCTGGACCCGGTGGTGTTTAGTTTGTGCTTGCAAGATATTAGACATGAGATGTGTTTAGTGTTAGGAGAGATACTTTCCTTTATTTGCCGGCGAAAGCGGACAAAAGCGAACTGATTCCAGTTGGCATTTGGTTTGAAGATTTTGCAACTTATCTCTACAAAAGATTAACCGTGCGGAGATTGGAATAAAATTTGGTTTCTCATTTTACTGAATGAGAGTATAGCGCGGCTTCTTTCTTTATAAGTCCAGTGTGTCCGTTTCGGTAACTTAAAATTGTCTCAGCAACGACATTTTTATTCGCCTTCTTGACGAAAGTTATATTTTGCTCTAAATCGTTGATTACGCTACCCGTCGTTGTTATTCAAAAGATTAATTTTGAGATAATGCAGTCCAGCAACTAGCACACAAATATAGAGGCTTTAAACTGTTTAAATCAAAAGAGCTGTGGTTCTGTTCGCGCCGCTCGAAACTGTCTCCACAATCGTATGTACCCGTTTTTCGTAATCTGCAATAAATCAGTCATCCAAAAGTAGACCACTGAATTCGTGGCGCTGCTTCCGTGTGATAGAATCAGTCCGATACATGTATACCACTTGGGAAAGTACATCCAGGCTCGCAGCACGAAGAACATCCCCATTACCAGCCACGATGTCAAAAATATGAGGAACACCTTGAAGAGTGCCCTCAACAGTTTCATCTCATCCTGCACACTGGTAGTGGTGGCCTCCTCCCTGGCGTTCTTGAGACCTGCGTCCGGTGGTAGACCTACAAGGCAACCATTATTCCGTTGTAAGTTGGTAGTTTTAGTGTGTCGCGCAGCTCGGATTTGCAATCCTGCATTTGCAACGTGATACACGTATAAGTGACAAACTGGGCAGCTTACTCGTAATAGTGCTCGAAGGTCTTGCGCTCTTGTTACCAATGAAGTGTCGACGCACAGCCTGACTGCGGCGTACGCGCAGATAAATCATTAGGTATGCATAGAAACTGATGCCAATGGGTAGCAGAATCCCGGTGGCTCCATAAAAAACAGAGTACGACCGCACATGTAGTTCCGTGGTGCATAGATACAGGTCACCGGAATAAGCGGTGCTACCCCATCCCACAAAATTGGGCAGATGCAGCCCATGTGCAGCGATCCACATGCCAATGATCATTAATGCTGCTTTGGGCGGGGTAAACAGTTTCTGATAGACAGAGTGGTAGTGGCAGATGCATATGTACCTGTCGTGAAAAACACTTAATTCCGCGGTACATTCCGTTAGCAAATGAGACACTTCGTTTAAAAACAAACGCATAAGGCATATAAGGAACATTTCTGCATACATTGATTTGATTAAATTCGATTGAATTTATTTTAGAGCAGCCAGGCCCGCAAAGTGACATTCTCACATAGAAGTATTCTTATCCGTTGAAGAACATCAAATATGCTATTGGGCTAGTAAAGCAACCACAACTCGTTAAACACCTGTAAGACGACATGCTGCGTCTTGTCGTATTACAGCAACTGTGATAGCGTTTTTGATTAGCGCATTAGAAACTCTGTATGGCTATAATAAGAGCTCATTTAAGTACGTAGGAAGCTATCATGAGTTTTGAGGATAACTTTAGCGTTTCTACTGCACGTGCGGCGCTCTAACCAGGTATAACGAGGTTGTTTTCCTGACCTTTCCTTAATTATGCTGATCCTTATTCCCAGCAACCCTGATGACATTGTATCGTTCTTCAGTTAATTACTTTGCGCCTGCTGCTCACTTCAGGTAATCAATGCGAAATTGAGCAGTCAAGTTGAGAAAGCAGGCCATCGAATTAGGCTCTTTCGTTTCAGTTAAATACATGTAAGTACAAATTATTCAATAATTTTAAATTTGGACAGCGCCAGCATTACAACATGAAGTTACTATTTACGAGCAACGAATCGGAATGTCTCTTTGCGTGAACGTGAACAAACGGAAGGTTATAGGTACCCTGAATCATTAATAATACGTTAATACTGCATATTCAGCATTTTTTTCCTCAATAGCGAGGGCTAAAAACGGTTTAAAATAGTACTAAGTACTGGCCAATTTTGCCGTACCTTTCTACGCTGATTGCCGTGATGCACCAGATTGATCCGATACAGGCCGCGGAGCAGATAGTTCCGTCGAGTTGGCAGAACCAAGGATGATCGCGGAAAATGGATGGTCCACGAACGGTGACTATAAATCACATTTTTTGCATCAGCTTTCAACATCCCTTATGCGTAAATTAAGTACTCCTATATGCGTAAATTAAGTACAAATAATTCTAAACAACAACGCCATTCTGCTGTTCACATATAAAAGTCCCTTCGGCATAAAACACCAAAAACCATGGCGAGTACAGATAAATCATGAAACGCCTACCTAATACGTTAACTGGAATAATTATTCCAGTGACCAGAATATCGGCAGCCGCCAGATTTCCAACAAAGACGTATTCAACCTTATGCAGGTCACGGATTATAAGCAAGGACACAATGACCTATAACTCAGATGCGAGTAACAAATTCAGAGTTGTTTCGCAGTGAGGTAGGCCAGTTAAAAACAAAAATTAAGAAAACTTACTATGAAATTGATCAATGTTCCCAGAACCGCCAAAATGCTCATTATCGAGACGAAAACATAGTGCAGTGTTGGCTGCTGGCGCCATTGAATGTGGAATGCTGAGTAATGCGCTTCCCATAAGGTTAGATTAGTAACCGGAAAAACGTAGGAAGTTGGAGACTGGTGACTTGTGTTAAACATTCTACTACAAATAACATAAGAATGTCGCGGCGTGCAACTTAAAATTGCAGCTAAACTAAAACACAAGCAAACCTTTGACGTATGGCTGATGCCATGCATACATTAAAAGAAATTAAAAATGAATCCGACAGAAACAGGACGAAGATAGTCGGCAAACATTTTCATCGCCTGATCGAGTGTTATGTAGGTCTTTTGCAACACGTAATTCCATTCCACACTGGGACTAGTGTAAGACTGAAATCGGACGCAACAATTTAATCTGTTTTCGGAAACGGATGAACGTATCTGTACATCCGCTCCCGAAAGTAGGTAATTACATTATCCAGTTTCACTGTAAAAGCGACCATGTCTGGTTAGCGATGGTAATGACACTTGCAGAATAAGTAACTACTACGCGTAGTTCGCGAAACCAAGTGCATCGCTCCTTTAATACGTGCCAGTTATTTATAAGACGTGAAGCAGCATGCCCCGTATATGTAGAATCCATATTGATGGTCTTTGCCTTTGTTCATCAATATGGATCAAACCTTGAAAAGTTGCGGGTATCAACGCCTTAAATACTTTTCGCAGGACGTATTAAATAACTCCTGTTGAATAATTGTTGTCCTATCGGCGGAAATGAAATACAACACTCCTTACATTTCTTTTACTCAACCCATCGGCGTCAGTTATTCTAACCAGGGCAGTGTCACCGGCCCCCTTCTCAGAAAGTTTGATTTTTGCAGGATGGTAGAGTAACAATAGAGTATACATAAAAAATACTTTTATCTGCCATAGTTCACAGGGCGTGACCAAACAAAATTCAAAAGTTAAATTTGCGCTATGCTTTGGCCATTGCACTGCTTCTTACGTTATTAAGTATGCCATCTAAAACGAGCTGCTTCGTAAATTTCTTTATACGAGGCCCATGTGCATTCAACATTCTTGGTACATATACCCATTTCTGAAACGGGCTTTTAGATGGCAGTTAAAAATTACCTTTATTAGAGATAGGCCTGTAAGTCCTTCATATTTTGGCTTTCGCGCTTGCAAAATTTTTATGCTAATATCAGATACCGCAAATTTAAATGGAAGGGTTAGCACGTACAGATCAATCACATAGAAATCATTAAATTAACTAACAGCTTCAAGTCCGCTTCAGAAACAAGACGGGCTAACGGAAAATATTAAACACATAGGCATCCTAGCACAGCGTATAAAGTGGCTCGAAATAAAATTAATCGTACACTTAATAAACGATTCGCGTACCGCGTAATGCGTATGATTCGCTAATGTCGTACAAAAACATGCGGTAAAACTAAAAAAATTAATAGTACTCTAATTTCTGGGAGTACGTCGTCATACAGCTTTACTTACGGGACAATCGGAACCGATAGTAAATGGATTAGTCATTTGTCATAAAAAAGCTGGTACAATAGAACTCCTGGCACTTTAGAGGTAATCGATCGCAATCATCGCATACTGGTTTCCAAAAACAGATGCGTTTTCAAGCGCTACATCAATCAGCGTGTTTGAACACCATGGCAGATAGCGCCATGGCAGCAGATCAGTGCTGAAAAGGCGTTTGACAGACTTAAAGGTTTTCCTTGCTGTCTAATAGTCTTGTTCGTAATTAATAAGGTCACTTGCCATGTCAGAACTCACCACGTTTTAACCGATGCCAAAATGACGTACGCGCCTAATTTGACGACTAACCACTCTTTATCTTATAACAACACCTTACCAGCTTGGTTTTCAGACCCGGAATTGTATATAGCGGACGCTGCCTGGTGGTGCTTAACGCTGTTGCCAAACGCGATGCTTCTTATATGCTTTTCTTTCTACAAGCATCTTGTTACATCTTTTGCCGTCTATGTAATTTTTTTACTCTTATCCAATATTATAGCGGACGATATTTGCATGCTGCCGTATTCTTTTACGGCAGCATTATTTCCTCCTGAATACAATAAAACCCACTTTATCAGTTGTCTCCTGTATCTCTACGGCGACTACGTTATAACGAGTGTCACTGGATATTGTCATGTGTTAATCGCTGCCAACAGATTATGGGCAGCATATTGTCCAATTCACTACCGGCAACATCACACCGTCAAAGCAGCCATTTTAATTTGCTTATTGGAATTTACGGTTATTCATTTCTTGACAGTTCCAATGGTGTTTATGCGACTGATTTATGAGCCTACACAAATTATAGAATGTGTTTTCGATCAGGAATCAGCAAATTTGTATTTGGATATCTTGGCCATTGCGTATGGGCTTCCGGTTTGTTTGATTGTCGTTGCTTATCCATTCATACTCCGAAAAACTCTTTGTAAATCGTCAGTACAGAAGAAAATCGCATCGGATGCGGTTACGTCGAACAGTACCTTTAGTGATGGCATTCCCAACACTGTAATCAGCGCACGAAAGCATCGAAAACGATCACAGGAATCGACACGCTCGTTGGCGGCAGTGACCTTTATGACTGCTAGTGTGGTTTGTTGTTATCTGCCTACGAATTTACCGTATGTTATTCGGCGTTTTACACCGTTATCCCAGCCGGACTGGTTGGGTGTGCTACAGGACGCTACGTACTCGCTGCAAGCCATATTGGATCCGGTGGTTTTCGGCTTGTGTTTAAAAGACGTTAGACGAGAGATATTCCATCTACTTCGCAACTCTTTAACAGCTATTTCCCGATTCAGAAAGTTTTTCCGCAACGGCTCTGTAAAATGCTAAGAATCTTTTCAACTTCTGTTTTACAGAGAATGTCACAAATAATTACTTTAATTCAGTTTAATTACCTTTCAAAGCTTTACGGGATACGCCAAAAAAAAAGTGCAGATTAACAGGCGAACCTGAATGTGGTACCTCTGAATTTCATTACAAAATGCATACAGCATCGATCCAAAAACGTTGTTTTGGTACACATTCATTGTAACGGTTACAATTACAAATTTCTAGACCTTCAAGCTTCTGTTTCAAAAACGTTACTCTTGCACAACGCATGAAAAATTCAAGGTTGGTATTTAAACAACCAATTATTCGCCGTTCGATCTGTGGATCTTGTGCACCATAAAACCAAATTTACGAGTAATACGACGCAGCTGATACAATAGTAATTACGCCGTTCCCCAGACTAGCGTTGGTATGGGCGCTTTGTTACGTAACGCCGGTAACGGTAACTGAAATTACAAGTTTTTACAAATCGATGTCTTTAGTGTGATATTACTAACGTCACAGCATTGATTAAGGATTAACAAGCTTGACCAGTTGTCCTTACCATGAGAACATGAACAGCGAACACCAGATTTAAATATATTATTAGAGTAAAAGGACTGGATTCCAGATAAGTGGTTCTCGCGCAGCACGTGGATTGTATGGGTCTATTTTAAATTTTTGGGAACCTGTTTGTGTGTTTGCGGAAGCAAAATGATAAACGGATCCAATTCGTCCACCAACGCCTCTTCTAACAACACCTCACCGGTTCGGAATTCTGATAAGGAGCTGTACAGTGCGGAGATTGTCTGGTGGTGTTTAACCCTGCTCTCCAATGCTGGTCTTCTGATACTGTTTGCTGCTAGAAGGCATCTATTTACGTCGTTCACCGTGTATGTAATTTTTCTTCTGTTATCCAACATCTTGAACGACGATATTTGCTTGTTGCCGTACTCTTTCACGGCAGCATTATTTCCTCTTGAATACACTAAAACACATTTCGTCGGTTGCCTTCTGTTCTTGTACGGTGACTATGTCGTTACGGGTGTGACCATGTTCAGCCACGTTCTAATTGCTGTTAACAGACTGTGGGCGGCATACCTTCCTCTTCATTACCGGCAACATCACAGCGTCAGAACAGCTATAGTGATTTGCGTAATCGAATTCACGGCGATTCATTTCCTCGCTCTTCCGATAATTTTCTTGAGGTTGATTTATGGACACGATGGAAGTGCTATTTGTTCAGTTGGCCGGGATTTATTTGGTGCATATCAAGACATACTGGCCATTTTGTATGGCCTTCCGGTATGCCTGGTGGTTGCTGCCTATCCGTTCCTAATTATCAAGGCTTTTCGGAAACGTTCAGTGCATCCTACGCGTAATGCGACAAATCGTTTGGTTGCACCAAACCCAAACAAGCGATCAAAGGAATCGACACGATCTGTGGTAGCGATGACTGTAATGACTATCAGTCTGATTTGCTGTTACTTACCGCCACAGGTTCCGTTTATTCTGCGACGATTTATGGCCTTCATCGAGCCAGATTGGCTGGATTATGTCAAAGATGCGGCATATTACATGCAAGCGATCCTGGATCCGGTGATTTTCAGCTTGTGCCTTGAAGATGTTAGACACGAAATATTAAGCCTGTTTCGTAACTTAATTATCGCGGCTGGTGTGCGGCTGTATGTTCGCTAACAGCGATTAAGAAAGACGCCGAGGGTTTTTTCTTGCATTTGATAAACGCTTTGCATTCTTCCTGTATATTTTGTTCACAAATCACTTTCTAAGATAATCACTCACAAATCACTCTTTCTAAGACAGTTGTGCGGGTTTCGCATAGCTAATTGTGCGGGTTTATTTTTACATAATTTACATTTTTGTTGTTTGCAGTCGCTGATAGCGAAAAAATAACTGAGTTTATACGTATTATTATTTTATTATGGACTGTCTTCAGTGATAAGGTTAGACTTTGCAGTGTGTTTGTGCCAAAATTCAAGCAGCTGAAACAACAACAAGGGATACGTTTATTTGTCATCAAATATTTAATCATTGCCGAGCGTAATGAAAGTTGGAAACGTAATTCAACAAAGTAAGCACTGCGGTATAAGTCGAACTTACATGCGTCATGCATACTGTAGCGACGGGCGACGCTCCCAAGTTAGATCACAGGCTTGTAGTGTGTGCACACAGGAAAGCAGCACATCGGAAAGCGTAAAATTATATGCCCATGAACAGTGCACCCACTGTTCGTGTGGTGTTTCCTCGTTCGGACGCTCTGAGGTTTAACCTGCAAGCATGGGTACTCGATGCAGCACAGCTACAAAGA